AACAGTGAGAACAATTAATCAGTGGAACAACCTGCCTCCAGAAGCTGTGAGTGCTCCAACAGTGGAGGTTTTCAAGAAACAAGACAACCACTTGTCTGAAATGGTATAGGGTTTCCTGCCTGAGCCGGGGGTTGGACTAGAAGACCTCCAAGGTCCCTTCCAACTCTGTTATTCCATTATTCTGTTACTTTATTACAAGGGCTCAATTTCAGAGAGATGTTCAACTCTAAAGAAGAAAAGAGGGAATTCGGAGCTGAGATGAAGAAGAAAGGGAAACCTATTCATATAGGATCACAGTTTGGAAAGAAGTGATCCCTTGTTCCTCTAAACCAGTGGTTCTCAACCTTTTTAATGCCGCGACCCCCAACCGGTCGTAAGTCGAGGACTAAACCAGTTGTAAGTCGAGGACTAAACCGGTCGTAAGTCGAGGACTAAACCGGTCGTAAGTCGAGGACTACCCAACCGGTCGTAAGTCGAGGACTTTCCCTGTCCGGGAGCGCCGTGTATGCGTGGTTCCGCCCCCTGCGCCGGCCGAGGCGTAGCTGGCAATCGGCAGAGACGGAGCAGGCCGACCACCAGCTGGCCCAGCCCAAGGGAGGTAAGGCACCCGCCAGAAAAGGGGAAAAAAATGGCGGACAAAAAAAATGGCGGACAGCCTTGCTTGGCGACCCCCGTGAAATGGTCGATCGACCCCAAATGGGGTCGCGACCCATAGGTTGAGAACCGCTGCTCTAAACCTCACAATCACATTAAGCACTTTAACTGTGCCAATTTTAGATTTCACGTTTTGGCAACAGCAGTGCTGTCAATCAATATCAGGTTTCAATTCAGTTCCAGCATGTTGTGGTCTTGAATCAGTAGCAAGAGAGTTCTGATGTCTTAATCTTCTCTTGGCACATTTTATTCATCCTGGATTTCTCCTTGTATGATCCCCAAAGCAAGTGAGGAAGAAAGTAAGTTAATAATCTGCTGATGGAAGACGAGCAGAAAAAGACAAATACCACATAGCAGGTAATGAATAACACACAACAGTTAACAACAATGGCAAGGCAATTGTTGTTAACAATCTTATGGCAAGGCAACAAAAAACATCTGTGATCCATCTTGTCAACATCTCAAGACCCAAGAAATACTAGTTTCAATCTTAGAAGAAACAGATTCTATTCCTAGACTTGTAAACAACAACAAATCTAGAAAAAACATCTAAAAAAAAAACTTGGATAGATTTTATGATAGTTTCAATTGGGAAACCGTGAGCATCTTAGACCAAGCTAAGTCCAAAAATGCTACTGAATTTCTGGATGCTGTCAGTCAAACAAATCAGCCCTTAACAGGCACATACAGATAAATAACATTTACATACTATTTAAAAGAGACAATCAAAAAGCTAAAAAGTGAACAAAAACCAACTGATTGACCAACCACACTCAAAGTGCAGTCTTTAATGGAACCACATCTACATGGAGGGAAGTGTGTAGTGGGGTGCCCCAAGGCTCTGTTCTGGGCCCAGTGCTCTTCAACATCTTCATCAACGATTTGGATGAGGGGATAGATGGGGAACTCATCAAATTTGCAGACGACACCAAGCTGGCAGGAATAGCCAACAGGCTTAAGATACAGGAGGATCTGGACAGACTTGAACACTGGGCGCTATCTAACAAAATGAAATTCAAGAGTGAAAAAAGTAAGGTTCTACATTTAGGAAAGGAAAAAAAAAGCCCAAATACACAGATATAGCATAGGTGGTGCTTGGCTCAATAGTAGTGAGAGGGATCTTGAAGTCCTAGTGGACTATCACCTAAATATGAGCCAGCCGTGTGCTGCAGCTGCCAAAAAAGCCAATGCAGTCCAAGGCTGCATTAACAGAGGGATAGAATCAAGATCACATGGTGTCGGTAGCAACAGCACTTAGACTTATGGTTCACAGTGCTTTACAGTGCCTCACATGCAGAACAGAGTGCTTTAAAGCCTTCTCTAAGTGGTTTACAGAGTCAGCATCTTGGCCCTCCCCAACAATCTGGGTCCTCCTTTTACCGATCTCGGAAAGATGGAAGGCTGAGTCAACCTTGAGCCCCATCAGGATCAAACTGCTGGCAGTGAGCAGTGAGTAAGTGTGCAATAATGCCTTCTAACCACTGCCCCACCAAGGCTCCACTCTATAATGCCTTGATAAGAACATACTTGAAATGTTGTATCATGTTTTGGTCACCACCATATAAAAAAGATATTGAGACTTTAAAAAGTGTGTAGAGAAGAGCAACAAAGATGATTAGGGAACTGGAGGCTAAAACATATGAAGAACGGTTGCAAAAATTGCATTATGTCTTCTTGTTCTTGTGCCATATCCATTATCAGACGTTGGCGATCACGTTGGCGATTCTGTTTTTATCAGCAGCCCCACGAAAAGGTGCTGCTGAGTTTTGTCCAAACCAGTCCCTTAGATTTTGAAGCTAGATGTTCTTCTTCTGCCTGGACCTAGTTTGCCTTCAATCGTTCCCTGGAGGATTAAATGGAGTATGCCGTATTTTTCTGGATGTCGCATCACATGTCCGAAATATTCTAACTTTCGTTTTTTAATTGTTTAGATTATTTCCCTTGGCTTTTCTGATCTTGTCAACCTAGCTTATATGTAACAGCTGCCTGTAAATTCACATTTCAAATGCTGCTAGTCTTTTCAGGTGGCCTTCTGTCAGAGACCAACTCTCTACTTCAGTGATGGCGAACCTTTTAGAGACCGAGTGCCCAAACTGCAACTCAAAACCCACTTATGCATCGTCGGGTGCTGGGTGGGTGTGGCCAATTGGGTGGGTGTGGCCAATTGGGTGGACATGGCTGTGGTGGTAACGGCAGACTGGGTGGGACTAAAAAGTTCAATCAATCAATTCCAACTTTGCAAGATCTTTTTTTTCCCCGCGAGAAGTTGAAATTGACTGATTGAACCTTTTTTTTTTTTTTTTGCAGACAGCAGCAGAGGCCTAAAGCGAAAAGGTTTTATAAAACTCAGCTGAAGGCCTAGGACTGGGGCAATGGGGCGCGTGCCCACAGAGAGGACTCTGAGTGCCGCCTCTGGCACCAGTGCCATAGGTTCGCCACCACTGGTCTACTTCATAGAGCAGGGTAGAAAAAAATATAGCATCCGACAAGCCTGATTTTCAATCTTAGGCTTATGTCATGACTGCAGAAGACCTTTTTCATTTTGAAGAACGCTGTTTGAGCTTTCTCTGTCCTTGTCTTTACTTCAGTGGCCATGTCCCAGCTTCCATGTAAATTAGAACCGAGGTGGGTGATCCTTTCCACTTTTTCTAATGGTATTCCTTCCGAATTTATTGGTAGTAAATTAACGGGTTGTTTGCTGATGACCATGATCTTGGTTTTTGAGGTGTTAAGCTTCAAGCCGTATTTTTCAGATATTTCTGTGACTCTGTTATGTCTACTTCAATGAAAAGATTACGGGCGACATGATAGCAGTGTTCCAATATCTAAGGCAGACATGTCAAACACAAGGCCCGGGGGCCAGATGCGGCCCGCGAAGTGGTTTCATGTGGCCCGTGAAGCCATCCTGGAAACAGTGAGGGAACGGCCCCCGCTGCCTTGGCCCCGGCCCAGGCCGGCCGGCAGCCAATGTACAATTTTGTGATGGCCATCTATGCTGAAACGCATTCAGTCTTAGCTCCACAAGGCCGTCCGGAAACAGCGAGGAACCGGCCCCTGCTGTGTTGGCCCCGCCCCCTGGGTGCATGCTGGGGAGGTGTCACCCTCTGTGAGGAATGAAGAAATGGACCATGCCTTGGCGCTTGCCCCGGTCCCACCCCCTTCTGCCAGAGACCCTCAGATCTGTCCCACTCCTGCCCAGGCCCCCACAGGCACCCTTGACGCGAATGCAGAGCTGACCACGCCGACTCAGTAGACCACACCCACTCCATCCACACCTACCCAGTAGGCCGCACCCACCCTGGCCACACACCCCCCCAGGGCAACTGCAATGCTGATGCGGCCCTCAATGAAATTAGACACCCCTGATTATAGGAGCTGCCACAAAAAAGAGGGAGTCAAGGTATTCTCCAAATGTGTGTGAAGGGGGGGGGAACGCAGGAAAAGCAGCAATGATTGGAAGTTAACAAAGGCGAGAACCAACCTAGAACTAAAAAGAAATTTCCTGACAGTGAGAACAATTAATCAATGGAACGACTTGCCTCCAGAAACTATGGGCGCTCCAACAACGGAAGTTCTTGAGAAGAGATTGGGCAACCATTTGTCTGAAACGGTACACGGTCTCCTGCCTTAAAGAATCGTTTTCCTTTTTTCCAATAAAGTTCACAGCTCCAAGATTTTCCAGCCTCCCTGGCAACCCAAACCATGTAGTTTTCAGACTGAGAGAGGCTGCTGCAAGGCACAGTTTTAAACCTCATTCTTTCTTAAGCTTGCCAGACTTAAGGTTCACCCTTGCTAATCATAAAGAGACTGGCATTCGATGAAAAGGGACCACTTGCTTCCTGACAAGTCAGTCGTGAATCCCACAACTGGCAGCCAATCTGAAATGCATCCGATGGAGGATACTGCAACCTCAAGAAATTGTGTGTCCTTTTCATACAACGTGTTAGTGAGAAAAGGTTACCACCAGATCCTTCCTGATATTTTTGCAACCAGAGATTAACAAAAGGCTCTTTGTCTGGCAGGTGTCAATCTTGCCTGAGTTCCTGTTCCCTTACTGGCAGAAGTCATTCGATATCTTCAGTCGTAAATAAGCACACAGAAATAAACCACATTCACACACCATTCAAAGGAGGCAATTAAAAACCTAGAAAGGAAGCAAAAAGACTAGAACACATTGTCTCCAGCAGCCAATGCCCAGATAAGCAGGGATTAACCCCAGACAAACAGAGAAACGTGTGGGGGAGATTGCAGATGGGAACCCACAGCTCTGATTCTTCATGGTTAGGAAAAACATGGAAGCATCAACCTGAGCATCAACCATCTGAAGCAACGCATCAGAAACCCACCTGTGGATTTGTCCATTTTTATGCAGGTACTCCAATCCTTCCAAAACCTCTTTGAGGATTGTGGCTATTACAGGCTCATCCAGGACTCCATTCTTATGTTCCCCTTTGGCTACAATGTGCTTGATCACATCCAGAACAGAACCTGTGTAGATAAGAAGAAAAGGCTTTAATAAGTGGAAGAAAGAAGATTCTCCTGATAATTTTTCTCTACTGATATCAAATTTGATGCTGATGCTGCTGATAGGTTTATACACCACCTTAAACCTTGATTTTAACTATATTTATTGAAGCAGGTACTTGGCTTGGCTTGCACACAACTCTAAAAATCAAACTGTGGTTTATAAACTACAGGTAGTCCTCAATTTGTTCAACGACCATTAGAAGTTACAACAGCACTGAAAAGTGACACAAAAGCAGACCTCTCACTTAAGACCTTCACAGCACACACACCCAGTCAAGTGATCAAAATTTGGTTGTTTAGAATCGGCATGCATTTATTAGTTGTGGTGTCCTGCAGTCATGTGATTGTCATTTGCAACCTTTTCAGCCAACCTCTGATGAGTAAAGTCAGTGAGTGAAGCTGGATTCTCTTAATACCCATACGACTGACTTAACAGTATAACAGAGTTGGAAGGGACCATGGAGATCTTCTAGTCCAACCCCCTGCTCAGGCAGGAAACCCTATACCATTTCGGACAAATGGCTGTCCAGTCTCTTCTTAAAAACTTCCAGTGTTGGAGCATCCACCGCTTCTGGAGGCAGGTTGTTCCATTGGTTAATTGTTCTAACTGCCAGGAAGTTTCTCCTTAGTTCTAGGTTGCTTCTCTCCTTGATTAGTTTCCATCCGTTGCTTCTTGTCCTGCCTTCAGGCGCTTTGGAGAATAGCTTGACTCCCTCTTCTTTGGGGCAGCCCCTGAGATATTGGAACACTGCTATCATGTCCCCCCTCGTCCTTCTCTTCATTAAACTAGACATGCCCAATTCCAGCGGCCTTTCCTTATATGCTTTAGCCTCCAGTCCCCCAAGCATCTTTGTTGTTCCTCTCTGCACGCTTTCTAGTCATGTCACCCCTAGTCCTTTTTCTCATTAAACTAGACTCTAGAGTCTAGTTACTAGACATACCAAATGTCTGCCACCATTCTTCACATGTTTTAGTCTCCAGTCCCGTAATCAAAAAGATCAGAGAATCAGGCCATGACTCAGTTAGCAACCACCTTGCTTGGCCTTGGAAATTCTGATCCCAATTGTGGTCATAAGTCAAGGATTATCTGTTCAACAGCTGGATTCATGGTTTTCCCTAAACCAGAATCAAACAAGCCAAGTGATAGCTTAGTCAAGATACGGGTAAAATGGATCTCAAATTGCAAAGACCTCAAACCCACATTTGCTCCTTATATAAGGAATCAGAAACATTTGAAAACTGCATTGTAAGGCTTCACCCAGCATTTACTCTCAAACAGCTGAGCAGCACAGGAAGAGGAAATGTTTAGATGAATGCCAGGTTGGAAAAGGAAAATATCCTTCTCAACTTTTCAACGTGAAATTTAAATATTTCTAGTCCAGAGAGATTAGGCAACAGTCACTAATTTACTAAACCTTTCACCTTTTTCTAATATTTAGGGATGACACAGCTTGCATTGTTTAGACATAGCACTGCTGTAATCTGATTATTTTGACACAATAAATTTACCATTTATTATGTCAAACGTTCTTAATAGCAAACAGGTTTGCTAAAAGATTTTGGAAGCTGAATCACCGTCTTTAAAACTGGTTTATTTTATTTTATTTTTACATTAAAGCCTTAAACTCAAAACCAGAAAACTTGCAACCACGGCCAAATTCAGAAGAAAAGGTACAGATTTTATTTTGTTGAGGTAGTCAGTTAAAGCCGCAGGGTGCAGTAGGAAGCATGTTCAGGCTTGTTACAGGTGACCTGACAGCTAAAATCCACTCAACTACGCCTTATTGAAAATTAAGACTTAACAGTATTTATCTTGATGGCTGCTTAAGCTCAAGTGACAGCCTAAGAATACCCAATTGAAAATAGACCTATTACAAGGATATTTTGCATGGTTTAAAATTGTTTCCTGACTTACCTTCCAAAAATTGTACTTTCAAGATCTTTTCCGCTACAGATTAATTGGCTTCATAAAAACACTGACCAGGTTAATTAACCTACTTCTCCCTCAAAACAAACTGATGTATATTAGCTCTAAAAATCGCACATATACAGATATAAATTCAAATAATAAATAAATAAATAAATAGTCCTCAGCTTACAACAGTTCATTTAGTGACCATTCAAAGTTACAGTGACACTGAAAAAAGTGACTTATGACCGTTTTTCACACTTACAACCTTTGCAGCGTTCCCATGATCACATGATCAAAATTCAGACACTTGGCAGGTGACTCATATTTACGACCGTTGCAGTGTCCCGGGGTCACATGATCCCCTTTTGCGACCTTCTGACAAACAAAGTCAATGGGGAAGCCAGATTCACTTAACAACCATGTGACTCACTTAGCTCCAGTGATTCACTAAACAACTGTGGCAAGAAAAGTCATTAAATGGGGCAAAATTCACTTAGCAAGTGTTTCACTTAGCAACGCAAATTTTGAGCACAACTGTGGTCACAACTTGAGGACTACCCTTATTAATGGAACAAAAGTGGGTGCGAAAGGGACTTGAGAACACAGGTAGTCCTCAATTTATGACTGCTCATTTAATGACTTTTTAAAGTTATGCCAGAAAATTCTAACAGCTGACCTCTCTCTGGTGACCTGATTGTATTTTGGGTGCTCCGCAATTGGCTCACATTTACAGCTGAATCATATGACTGTGACTTACAATGTTTTTTGTCAAAAACCAGCATTTACTTCCAGTTTCCAGCAAAAACTGGACTGTAGGGATTAATGGATTCACTTAACGGCCAGTGTTTGCTTACCAAAAGCAGCTAAAAAACATTGCAAAATCAGGTCAGTCACATGATGACCTGCTTTAGGACTATCATGGGTTATGACAGTAATTGCTCACTTATAGTCGTAAGGCGAGGACTACCTACAGTAAGTATTTTGTGGCTGCTACAAAAAGTAGCTGATTTCCTCCCAGGGTTATTTGGGAGCTTAAAATAACAATGCCAGCAAAGTCTCTTCCCTTATATAAAATCTATATATCAATTAGACCAAACTTAGAATCTGATGCACGCTTCTAATTATTACATTTCAAAATAATATAGAGGAGCTGGAAAAATAACTAAACAAAAAAAAAAATGGCATTATGACAATGTTTCCCAACCTTGGCAACTTTAAGATGAGTGCCACTCACCTTCCGGAATTCCTCTGGCTGAGAAATTCTGGGAGTTGAAGTCCATACATCTTAAAAGTCGCCATGGCTCAGATACTGATTTGCATCAGCATTAAAAGAATCACATCAGTTCCTTTGTGCAAGGAGATGATTAACCATCCAGTGTTTCCCCAATTTGCCCACTTCTAGATGTGTAGACTTTGACTCCCAGAATTCCCGTGCCAGAATCTTTGCTGCCGGGAATTCTGGGGGGTGGGGGGTGGTTTGAAGTCACTGAATGAAGCCATTCTTTAACCCAGCCATTATCTCTGTGTGTCTCTGGATATTTATTGTGCCTGTTTTTCTTTATAATTTTCTTTACTGCTGATGGGTGCTCTTTGTAATTTAGTTTTGCTATTTTAAGCTTCTTCAGGAGGGAATGCAAGCTGGCCAGAGTCTCTCTGGACGAGAGTGACATACAAACCCTTGTAAAGAAACGGTTTCTGAAGGAGCCGAGGCTTTAACCTGGCAAGATACACAAGAACCACTTAGAATTGATCATCCACGTGCTGTACTGAAAAGAGATGAAGTGTCTCCAGAAATTGCCAACAGGCTCAGTAATATGTTATTAAAACCAACTCTAGATTATTTCAGATATTTTCAAGCATCCAGTTTAAGATGCTGGAAGAGTAAATAAGCTGTTGCAAATGTGCTCTTTAGAAGGTTTTTAGCATACACATAAACACATACATATATATTAAAGCAGGGGGTGTCAATCTCAATTTCACTGAGGGCCGCATCAGCATTGCAGTTGCCCTCGGGGGGGGGGCGGGGGGGTGTGGCCAGGGTGGGTGCAGCCTACTGGGTGGGCGTGGATGGAGTGGGTGTGGTCTACTGAGTGGGCGTGGTCAGCTCTACATTCGCGTCAAGGGTGCCTGTGGGGGCCTGGGCAGGAGTGGGACAGATCTGAGGGTCTCTGGCAGAAGGGGGTGGGACCAGGGCAGAGCCCATCAAGCCAGATATGTGAAGTAGGCGAGAGCCAATTGCTGGCCACTTCCAGGCGATGGTGCATTTCTTCATTCCTCACAGAGGGTGACACCTTCCCAGCAGGCACCCAGGGGGTGGGGCCGACGCGGCAGGGGCCGGTTCCTCGCTGTTTCCAGACGGCCTTGTGGAGCTAAGACTGAATGCGTTTCAGCATAGATGGCCACCACAAAATTGTACATTGGCTCCCGGCCGGCCTGGGCCAGGGCCAAGGCAGCGGGGGCCGTTCCCTCACTGTTTCCAGGATGGCTTCGCGGGCCACATGAAACCACTTTGCGGGCTGCATCCGGGCCCCGGGCCTTGTGTTTGACATGTCTGTATTAAAGGCATTATTAGTCCCAAAGCATCAAACATATTCTGAAGCTGCAAAAAGAGAAAAGTTCAAATCCCTTCTTTCCTTCCTCTCCTTCCTTTCTTCCTTCCCTTTTCCCTTCCTTCCTTCCTCCCTTCCTTTCTTCCTTCCCTTCCTTCCTTCTTTCCTTCTTCCTTCCTTCCTTCCGCCATCATTTTGTTTCTCACATGCAGTGTGAATAACCAGCACTGACAGAGAGAGAAATGTTTACACTTCTGACTCCCGTAAGAATCCCTTAAAAGGCCAATTCATTCAATCTGATGCATTAATAAAATTGCTAATTAGGCTTCAGTTCTGAAATGGAGGGAAGGAAAACTAATTGTGCATCACTTTAGAAAGAAACCAAAGCAGGGGCAGTGTTTACAACAGGGTCAGACCCAGAACCTTTGGGTCAGAAGGAGGTCATGCCAAAAACACCAATAACTGCCTCAACTGCAATTATAGATATATATTTTTTCAGC